GGACTTAACTGTCAGGGGTCCTTTACCTTTACCTTTAAGTTCCATTATGTCCCTCTTAAAGAATAAACACATGACAATCTTATTTAAAGTCAATAAAAGAAGTTTACTCACAGTATCTTCAGTTCACAGTTGGATCCCTGAAGGCAGACTTAGTTACAAAGTATATACATGTGGATCTATTCCATATAGGGATAATCCCAGTGTCTTCTGTTGGCTGAAAGCCAACAGAGCATTTCTTGCTAAAAAGCTGCTCCAAGGATGAAGGGAGTCAAAGAGAGAGAGAGTGCTGTGTGACTTGTCCCTTTTGTTACCTGGACTGGTAAGGTCACGCCCACCTCTAGTCACACGCAAAGGAAGTATGTCCCAACCAGGAGGAAACAGGAAGTTTTCGACTGGCTGGACCAAACATTCCCCTGCATGTCCACTCTAGGAAAACAAGGAATGTTGTACTTGACTGCTATGTATGTGTCACATCCCACAGTGCTTGCCTGGTTTTGGGAAGGAGGAAGAGGGTTCTAGGACCCGGTCAGAGCCCTCATGCCTCCCCCCTCCCGCAAAGCTAGGGAACTGCTCGCTGGGCTTTGAGAAGGCAGCCCCCATGGCTGTATGCTTGGTGTGACCGCTCTGTTCACACTGCCCTAAATCCGCCTTTGGTGCTTGTTCACAGAATGCAAGTGTAGCCTGTGGAACTCATTCATACTGGATGAGGCGATGGCTAAAAAGAGCAGGAGTGGCTTTATGGAGGTGGGGGATGAGTTAAATACTGTGGAGGGCAGGGCTATCGAGGGCTATGTGTCAGGAGAGCAAAACGTGTTTGTCTCCATTTCCAGAGATGCCCCTGCAAAGTAAGTGGCACGTGCTGATTTTCAGCATTTGTTTTTCTTGACGTAGAATTTGAGTTTCACTGGTGCAATGCTTGGATTTCATTTATCTGATGCACCAAGCAGCTTTTTCACTGTTCTCGCTTTCCCCTACCGGAGGCAAAACACACTGCTTAGAGAGATGGAAATCATTTAGAGAATAATGTTTTAAATAAATAGCATGTAACTCTCAGAAAATAAAGCAACAAAACAATTTACAGATGAGCTTGAAATCACACCAAAGAGTGAGGGTGTACGGTTTATTCAAGCATGACACGTAAGAGGCCTTTCAGAATGGGAACATACGAGCCGCCCTGCAGCTGCGTCAGACTCAAGTCCAGCATCTAGTTCTCACAGTGGCCAACCAGATGCCTCAAGCCCAAGGGCACGAGTGCTCCAGCACTTTCCCCACCTGCAATTCTCTGCCTTACCCTCCAAAAAATTGTCTAATCCCAGTTTAAAACCTTTTAAATGAAACTTGGGTTTTACCATAGAGCAGGTGTCAGGCGAGTCTCTCTGAAAAGGCTATTCCAAATCCGAGGTGCCACCACCAAAAAAACCCTCTCCTTTGTTGCCATGTACCTCAATTCACTTGGAGGTTGCACACGGAGTGAGGACTCCGGAGGGGATCTTAAAGTTTGGGTACTTAATCAAAGAATTGTATGATCAACAGAAACCAGGACAGACCCTGGTCGGCTGGGGTACAGTAGACTCAGTCTCTGGTCTGGCTCTCTTCCTTTCCCTCTAGAATACATGCGTCTTCAGTCACGGAAAAAAGACCAGCAGGAATTCCAGCGGACCGGACTGAAACAGCGAGGAACTTCTGGGTGGGATCTGGTCTCCGTCGTCTTCCTCATGATCTTCTACCACCCCGTCCTGACGCTGCAACACCGGCTAAGGAAAAACGTCCAGCACATCTTCATTCATTTCAGCGCCTGGGAATACGCCGGGAGTGACCAGCTCTGGGCAGGTCTGATCACTGCCCTGTGCGATGGCATCGAGAGCCACTTTGGCCTTGTCCCCGTGAGCGTCTACAGAGCTGTGGGCAGGAAGTGCGGCCTTGTCGAGGCCCCTCTGAGCCAGGAGTGGATCAGCAAGAAGTACCTCTGCCTGCCGCTGTGGGCTGCTATCCTCTTGGTGGCGGCCGTGGCTGTCGGAGTCGGGGCCCTCATCTTTGTTTTCGGCATCCCCACTGGCAACGCTTCTGGGGACGCCATTGCTGTTGTCGAGGGCCTTGGGGCCACGGCGGTTGGGATCACGGCTGCGGCATCCGTCCGGATGGCTGTCCTGGTGGTACGGAACGTCATCGTCACCCAGAAGGCCCAGCTGGAGAGGCAGATGAACCGAACGGACCTCAGCGCCCAGCTGGGCTTCATGAGCAACGTCAAGAGGGAGGTGAAGATCATTGCCAAGTTCCTGAAGTTCATGGAGATCTTCCAGCGGAGGAAGCTCAGGGTGGTGCTGGAGATCACCAGCTTGGACAACTGCAGCCCCGACAAAGTGGTGGGCGTTCTCGATGCCATGAACATCCTCCTCTCGGACTACGAGGCGCCCTTCGTCTCCATCCTGGTGGCCGACCCCAGCGTGATCGTGGACTGCGTGGAGAACTCCTTGTACATGAAAGGCATGGCCAACAACGGCTACGAGTTCTTGAACCGCATCATCACCCTCCCGTTCTCGGTCCCCAAGATGGACACCCACACCAAGATGCAGCTGGTGAAGTCTGCCGTCGACTGCAGAGAAGAGCAGGAGAAAAGCCTGGAGGAAGAGGAGGGAGAAGTGGACTTTCCGCAGGAAAACCAGAGGAGGCTGAATGCTGGGTCGCCCTTGTGTTACGATTCCGCCGTCCGGAAGGCCCCCGAGCGACACGGCGATGGCAGCCGGGTGCCTCTGGTTGTCGTGAGTCCCAGACTGGAAGCGCCTCCCCGAAAAAGGTGCAAGAAAGGCTTCAAAGCCAAGGACCTGATCCAGGAGGCCTTTGAGTTCCTGCTGGACGACAGCATGAAGGAGTACATGACGGACAACATGGTGCAGATGAGACGGATCATCAACACCATCTCCGTCACTGTGCGTCTCATGGCGACGGAGGTCCCCCGGGAGAAGCTGTGCCCGCACAAAGTGGCCTCCTGGGTGCTCCTGGCCAGCCAGTGGCCTTGCCGGCTGAGCTGGATCTTGCAGTGCATTGAGGACGATGAGCAGGTGGGCCGGCTGGGCCTGGGCCAAGGCTGCCAACTGGATCCCCACCACTTCCTGTGGGAGGTGTACGAGAAGTACATGGACGAGCTCGACATGCTCAAGGGCCAGCTGGAGAAGCTCTTGGAGCTGGACGGGGACCCCGAGCTCTTCCACAGCTTCCTGTGCCACAGGTTCCAGGTGAAGGACGCCAGCTTCTTCCTGCCTTACACGGTCAACCTGGACTCCTCCTTGAAGAGGCACATGGAGCTCCTCCGGGGCAGCCGCAGCCTGAAGCGAAGCACCAAGAAGGGCCACGGGCTCTCCAGATGCGTTCTGCTGGGGCTGTCGGTGGACGAGGTCTGCAAGGAGGTAGGAGAGCACTGCCTTGCCCAGGGTCAGCTTGGAAGCAGGTTGAGGAAAGAGGAGGCTGCCCAAGCAGGAAGGAAGTATATAGTGTTACTGCCTCCTGCCAAGGCAAACAAAGGAAGCGATGCCACAGAGTTCTCTCTAGCAAATTTCACAGAAGCCTCATTCCTTTCATGTGCCTGTCTGGCAAAACATGGGTTGCTGGTTTGACTGCAATAATGTCCCGCAGATCTATCCCAACCTGACTAGGAATACACTCTAGAGAAGTATCCCTTGTTTTGTACCTCAGCTGTTTTTCCCTGGCTGGGATTTGGCCTTCAACTCTGATTATACCTGCCTGGATGGAGACACTAGCTTATTTGCATAAAATTTACATTGGTTGCCCTGCCCACTTATTGCCTCTGGCCCCACCCACCATGGTCATGTGACCTTTGGAAGGTTGCCCAACAGGGAATATGGCCCCTAAACAGAAAAACTTCTCCTTGCCTTCCCTATGTGTGGGACAGTGTTGAGGAACATGATTGTGAGTTTCCACCTCTGCTTTTTGTTCTCTTCCAGATGGACCAACTTGGCTTGAAAGAGGAAAATTCCCAGCGGTACAAGGAGAGGTTGAGGCAGCACCATCTGAACGGACGCGCCCTGGCCTACAGCGACAGGAACGAAATCAGAGATGTCCTTGGCATGGGTCTCGGGGAGTGGGTGACCTTCAGTGCGTATTTCCTTGGGTCAGGGCCGTCTCAGGCCCCTTCGACATCGTCTCCCATGGTGATGTTCGGAAAGAAGAGCTACTTAGGCGTGCAAGAGAACACGCTGAGAGGAAGCACCTGGTCCCTGAACTTTTCCAGGGAAAATAACCAGCTCAACCAGGTTCTGTGCACCTGAGACCTGCTGGAAATTGCTACTGGAATCTGGAGCAAGAGATGGACTTGATACAGCCACTTCAACATTTATTTATTTCTTATAGAAAGGAAGCGCTGTGGTCCCTAACTCCAGAAATAAAAGTTCAGCAACTCTGCCTGAAATCCTCAGGTCACTGGTGTGATTCATTTACCCATAATCTGCATAAGACACAATCTATTTAATCAGTTGGAAGATTCAGGATAAGCAAAAGAATGTAATTCACAAAGTGAATTGCTTTGAGGGGGGGTTTGGGGGGGTTAAAACTAGGCAGTATATACATTAAATCAGTGCTTTTTTTCCTTAAAAAAATGTTTAGGGGTACTCTTGTTTTCCTACTCATATTGAAATATTTCCCCTCAATTAGGCCAAAATTAGACCCACAAAATGTTTAGGGGTATGTGTACCCTTGTGTCCCCCTAGAAAAAAGCACTACATAAAATACATAAATAAACTATGGCATTTGATCCCACAAGCAGGAGTGATGGCCACAAACTTGGATGGCTTTTTAAAAAAGGACAAGGTGACACATCTGTGAACCTGGGTGTATGGGAGAGACGCCAAAGTCAGACTGGTTTTTGTGTAACCCTGAAAAAGAGGCTGAAGAGCTGAGATTCTGGGAGCTGTAGAATGAGGTGGTGGCAGTGGCGAAAATGGTCCAAACCCATGAAATGACCAGAGTAAGTGACAGACAAAATAATCTAATAAAACATAATTTAATTTGGGGGTGAGATTGGTATCTGTCACAAATGCATATCATATACAGCACACTTCATTCCTCTCTTCCTGTCCCATGCAGGCTTTCTTAAAAAACCACACACACACACACACTATCTGCAGTGAAATATGGTTGAATTCATCTCAGCGTTGTAGTCCGAAACATCTGAGGGGCACTAGGCTCGTGAAGGGTGTCTAGGATCCTTTTAAAATTATTATTATCTTTCTGCCGCAATGAGCAGCTCTGGAGTTATCCTTCACCTTCCAACCCAGCACTTTTCTCCACAGACAGTGTCTCGCCCTCCCTGTTTTTCCTCCAGACTATGTGATTCAGGCCCCGCTGCAACTCAAACTGCCTCTTCAGAGAGAAGTCTAAATTGATGAGGAAGTTGGAAAAATACCTGGCCCGCCCCACCGTAAAATGGCTCTTCTGCAAGAAGGTTCGGAAAAGGTCGGGGTCCCCATCGAGCTCTAAAAGTTTTCTGACATCGTTCTTAATCTTGTCCAGCTCCAAAGCATTGTCCTCATAAAACGGCAACAAGGCCTTGCTGTCTCTTTCGGAGGCTTTGTCCTGCAGATCTCCTCCTCCACCTCTGCCATGGCCTTGCTTCAGCTGCAAGCCCCTGGCCCGGCTTTCAATGAGCTTTTCCTCCTGCTGCTCGTCTTCTGCACACTGCAAAATCCAGCTCAGGCGGCAAGGCCAAAAATGGGCAAGGATAACCCAATCGACCACCTCTTTGGTCACCAACCTGCCATCTTCCCTACTGACATTCAGTCCGGATTGGGGCTTATATCCTAGGTCAAGCATGGACCTAATGCTCAGTACTGTGTTGATGATCCGGTTCATTTGGACAAAATTTCCTGGGACGTAGTCTTCAAAATTCTCATGGCTCAGGTCTTGGAAGATGTGCTGGACTTCCTCTGTGGCCAATGAGCCCGTGGCTTCTTTGACCCCTTGGCTGTTTTGCTTGTGAGCCCAAGTTTCCGGATTAGTAGCACAATCCTGCCCCCGTTTCCTTTTTCCGTTCAGAATCCCTGCGAGCATCCGCCTCTTGCCCTTGCAGCTCATCCGGGGCAGGGAGAAGGGGAGAGAGACGATTCGATTTAAGTACAAGTAGCCATTGCTGCAGGTGGTCTTTGACGACTGAATGCTGTCCACCAGGATTCCTGGGTCAGCGACCAAGATGGTGATATAAGGAGCGTCTTCGTCTGAAAGGAGGATTTTGATGGCGTCTAGGACGGCCACCACTTTGTCCGGAGTGCAGAGGTCTAAATTGACAATCTTCAGAACCACCCGGATCTCTCGGTCCTCCTCGAAGGCCATGAATTGTAGGAAATGAGTGATTGTTTTCACCTCTTCCTTCACAAAGTGCATAAAGCCCAGCTGGTCCTTGGCGTTCATTTTCGCCTGGAGTTTCTTTTTCAGGGTGAAGAAAATGTTTCCTGTGCAGCGCATAAAAGGCAGAGTGGATGCGCCCAGCACTACTGTTGTTGTGTATCCCACGCTTTCCCATAAACCGCCGCCCGATTTCAGCCTCGTCAGCGCCGTGCTCAGAAACAACCCAAGGAGCAGACACAAGAGGCCAAACCAGAAGACCTTGCTCCATCCTTTCAAAGCCCATTTCTTTTTCCGCATAACTGGCTCTTCCTTGAATTTCACACCAAAGGACCGGAAAGTGCTGAACGGGATCCTGTAATTGCCTTCGATTTCATCCAGCAGTGTTGTGACGATGCCGGCCCAGGTATGATCGCATCCTGCGTATTCCCAGGCGTTGAAGTTGATGAAAATATAGTGGATGCCTTCAGGCTTTGCTGAGCGCAGAAGGGGGTGCATGAAGATGATGTGCCAGAGGAACGAAAGGAGGGAGTACGTGGTCCTTGCAGCTTCACTTCTGTTTTGTTTGCTTCGCCAGCGCATGTGATCTGCAACGGAGAGCATCGCATTGGAAGATTCCAGACAGAATAAACGAAAGTCCTCCTTCACGCGGCACATAGTTAAACTATGGAACTCGCTGGACTTGCTCTGATTCAGCAGACTCTGCTTAGGTTCTTAGGAAATAATTTAATTGTATGCTATGGTATCTGAAGAAGTGTGCATGCACACAAAAGCTCATACCAATAACAAACTTAGCTGGTCTCTAAGGTGCTACTGGAAGGAATTTTAAAAATAAAATTTAAATTTTTTAATTTTCTTTTGCCTACGGTAGACCAACATGGCTACCTACCTGTAACTAGGTTCTTATGCCTTGTGCTCACACCAGTTCCCAATTCATCAGCATGCTGCTGCAGACCACGCTCTCAGGATATGAGGTCCGCCTGAACAGATCCTCCTCAACGAATCTTTTCTCCCCCAGCCCTACCTAGAGCTTCTGGGGATTAAACCCAGGGACCTCCTGCTCTGACCCTGAGCTGCAGCCCTCCTGACACAGTCTGCATGCCTTTCCTTGCATCCCTGCAAGTACAAAGGACTAGACAACTCAGGAAAGATGTCTTGGCTATCCCAGTGGGCACCCTCCTGTCTCAAGAGACATTGGAGTGCACCTCCGGGGGCGAAGCAGCACTGAAATGACCTCCCAGGGCACAAACCCGGGCAGTGTGTCTGGAGGTCCTGGGCTGCCCAGACAACAAGACCCCGGAAGTCGGTGCCCGCGGCGAGAGAGAAAATGGTGCCGTGGGGGGAAAGCATGGAATCCCCATGCCGATCCACAGAACGACCGGAAGCTCCTGGGCCAGAACCAGCCCATGGGCCTTAGGCTGCCGAACTCTGGTTTAGGATCAGAGTTTTCCTTCTCCTAGATGGGCTACCTGCCAACCTGCCCCTCACTTCCCTCTACAGCACATGCAGAAACCCCCTTCTTGACCACTGGACCCACTCATTCAGGGGAAGCCCCTAACTCATTGAGAGTTTGAGACCCATCAGCTGCTCTTGCCTGGGTGTGGCCATTGTCACCTGCTGACTGCTTCTCGGAGCCCCAGGTGAGAGCTGAGTGCAGGGTGGGGACCAAGGTGGACAAACCACTCCAGAAGGAGCACGATGTATCCCCCACCAGAGGGGCTACCCCTCCCCTAACACCCCATGCACAACACACTGCTACCGTAATCTCTCATAACGGTTGGCCAGGTTGCAGGGCAATGAGGACCCATTCTAGTGCTGCACCCCAGTCCTGCCAAGGCTGCATGGGGAAATGGATGCTCCACTGGCATCACAGAGTCCCTGCATCTCAGAGGGCAGCAGGGCCTCTGGCAGTCAGCAGGTCTTGCTTGGAAATCTACAGCAGCCTTTGCCAATCTGGTGCCCTCTGTGTGTTTTGGACTGCCTGGGGCTGATGGGAGTTTTAGTCCAAAAACATATGGAGGGCACTAGGTTGGGGAAAGCTGTCTTGGGCACTGGGACTGCCCAAATAATAATGATGATGATGATGATGATGATAATAATAATAATAATAATAATAATAATAATAATAATAATAATAATTTATTCCCCGCCCATCTGGCTGTGTTTCCCCAGCCACTCTGGGTGGCTTCCAACAGAAGGTTAAAAATACATTAAAACATCAGTCATTAAAAACTTCCCTAAACAGGGCTGCCTTCAGATGTCTTCCAAACGTCAGATAGTTGTTTATTTCTTTGACATCTGATGGGAGGGCGTTCCACAGGGCGGGTGCCACTACCAACAAGGCCCTCTGCCTGGTTCCCAGTAACTTCGCTTCTCACAGCAAGGGAACTGCCAGAAGGCCCTCGGCGCTGGAGCTCAGTGTCCAGGCAGAAAGATGGAGGTGGAGACACTCCTTCAGGTATACTGGACCAAGGCCATTTAGGGCTTTCAAGGTCAGCACCAACACTCTGAATTGTGCTCGGAAACGTACTGGGAGCCAGTGTAGGTCTTTCAAGACTGGTGTTATGTGGTCTCGGCAGCTGCTCCCAGTCCCCAGTCTAGCTGCCGCATTCTGGATTAATTGTAGTTTCTGGGTTACCTTCAAAGGGAGCCCCACGTAGAGCGCATTGCAGTAGTACAAGCGGGAGATAACTAGAGCATGCACCACTCTGGCCAGACAGGTGGAGCTGGTAGACGGTGAATGACCCTCTCGCTGTTGTATAATTAAATACGCTCTGAACTCTCTCTTTCATCTGTGATGACTCACGTCTGAGGAATGGTGGTCCTTACCTTCAATTTCACACAAGAGCCTTTTCTTGCCTCTCCCCCAGGGTGCGTAGATTCCCACCGTCACAGGGAGGGGAATATGGTGCAGAGTCTCAGCCAAGGCTTGGCAGTAAATGGTTTCATTTGTTCCTGGTTCCTCTGTAAAAAAAATAGAAGGAAATCAAAATGACTTTATTTTATTTTTAAATTTCACCAGACTATGAGGACCAACCAGGGACGCAGGTGGTGCTGTGGGTAAAACCTCAGTGCCTAGGACTTGCCGATCATATGGTTGGCGGTTTGAATCTCCGCAACGGGGTGAGCTCCCACCGTTCGGTCCCAGCTCCTGCCCACCTAGCAGTTTGAAAGCACTCTTAAGTAGATAAATAGGTACCGCTTTATAGCGGGAAGGTAAACGGTGTTTCCGTCTGCTGCGCTGGTGCTGGCTCGCCAGATGCAGCTTTGTCACGCTGGCCACGTGACCCGGAAGTGTCTCCGGACAGCGCTGGCTCCCGGCCTCTAGAGTGAGATGAGCGCACAACCCTAGAGTCGGACACGACTGGCCCGTACGGGCAGGGGTACCTTTAGCTTTACCTTTATGAGGACCAGCAGCAAGTAGAACCGGAGAAGAGAGCTGAAATCTAAGACGCTGATTTGGAAACTACGTTACACACCCCGATTTTCTTTATCCGGAGGTGCCTCTCCCTTCCGCTGGAGTGAAATGTAGATGGGCTTACTCATCATCGTGGCGTTTAAAAAGTCCCCAATCCACAGGCTGCTTAACTCTGCCAAAGAAGGGTAGGATAATGAGCAGAGTCCTGTCCCCACCCCTTGGCACTGGTAGGGTGGCGGGCAGAGAGGTCAACAGAAGTGGCACCCGAACCGAAGATGGCGCAGGAACAGCCAGCTAATTCTGGTTTGCCCCCATCTTCCTCCCTGCTGAATGCTAGGAGGGCAACACTGAGATGAAGGAGGCACAAGCTCAACTCCCTGTGCCATGGCTACCATCGCTGCTTCCTAGCCATATTGGCTTCTGGGCTGGCAACTGTGGCAAGTTTTAGGTGCCTATTAACAAATAGTTCCCCTAAATTTTCAGATTGTACTGCTCGGTGTTTAGAGTCTGGATTTTTTATTTGACACCACAGGCAACTCCCTGTTTATGTGGGGGTTGCGTTCCGAGGCACCGCACCTTTAAGTGAAATCGCGCATATCGGAAACACCATTGAGAAAACCTGCAAACGCCCTCTAAGCCACTGGACTCCCTTGAAAAAAAAACCTTACAAAAATTTAAAACCCCTTCTAACTCTACCACAATTGCTCTCTCCAAACCTCCTCGCTCAAACTCCAACCCTCCCCAGGCCTCAAAGGTTGGTGCAAAGGCTAGAGGCTGTTTTCGTGCCCTTTTTTTGTGCTCTTTTAGGGCTGTTTTTGCCAATATTCATGCCTCTTCCAGGTTCGTGGCGATGCAGTCACACGTGGCTTGAGTGCGTGTAAGCAAGGGAGTTAGTTGCCTGTACGCATTTTTGCTTTATTTGCCTTCTAGTCCTGTGATTTTTATGGCTTTTGCTTTGTACAACGCTTAGAGGTGGTGGTTGTTGTTGTTGTTTTAAAAAAGATATCAGACATCCTCTAAAATGGATAAGATAAATGAATAAAAATGGCTGAGCTGAATGGGCATGTAAAGAGCTGTTCGACAGTGGAATTTGCTGCCCAGGAGTGTGGTGGAGTCTCCTTCTTTGGAGGTCTTTAAGCAGAGGCTTGACAACCATATGTCAGAAGTGCTCTGATGGTGTTTCCTGCTTGGCAGGGGGTTGGACTCGATGGCCCTTGTGGTCTCTTCCAACTCTAGGATTCTATGATTCTAAAAGCTGGAGGTGGCAATGTGCTCATGTCCGTGTGGGCATGGGTGTGTGATGCTGCATCCTTCACTGCTGATGTGCGCAGAACAATGAACCGAAAGAAAAAGTAGCAGTTGCCATAAGGAGCTCAAGGCCACACACGTTTAGGCAGAACAAACGATGCCATGCTGGCAGAGTAGTAGGAACTAGAGCAGGCATAGCCAAACTCGGCCCTTCAGATGTTTTGAGACTACAATTCCCATCATCACTGATCACTGGTCCTGTTAGCTAGGGACCATGGGAATTGTTGTCCCAAAACATCTGGAGGGCCGAGTTTGCCTATGCCTGAACTAGAGACAGCTGGAAAAGAAATGAGATCTAGCCAGAATTGTCGTTAGTACAGTGGTACCTCGCAAGACGGAAAACTCGCTAGACGAAAGGGTTTTTGGTTTTTTGAGCTGCTTTGCAAGACGATTTTCCCTATGGGCTTGCTTCGCAAGACGGAAACATCTTGCAAGTTTGTTTCCTTTTTCTTAACACCGTTAATACAGTTGCGACTTGACTTCGAGGAGCAACTCATAGCACGCGGTGTGGTAGCCTTTTTTGAGGTTTTTGAAGACTTTGGTGATTTTTGAAGCTTTTCCAAAACTTTCCCGACACCGTGCTTCGCAAGACGAAAAGAATCGCAAGACGACAAAACTCGCGGAACGAATTAATTTCGTCTTGCGAGGCACCACTGTATGAGGAAGACGGATAGCTCCTCCTGCAAGTAAAAATCTGCTTGTTTTAAAATGGGTATAAAAATCCTTGGATCCCTTTGTTTGGGGTCCTGCCCTTTTGTTTTTTGCTAGCTTTCCAGATCGTTAGTAGCTGGACCTCTAGGGTTGAGCATGGAATAAACTGGTAATTCCTGTGCTTTGCTTTTCTGCACCTCGCCTCTTGAGTTTCTGCCTCAGGAAAGACACGGTCAACCTTTTTCCCACCGCACCACCCACCAGATGTTCCAGCTGCTGCCTCGCACCCCCTTCATCACCTCCTAGGAGACCCTCCCTCTTGGCCACAAGTCGGGGCAGCAGAGCACACGTGTTGCCTGCCAGGTTCAATCCTGCGCATCTCCAGATAGGGCTGGCAAAAGGTGTCTGACCGAAACCCAAGAGAGCCACCCCCAGCTGGTCTTTGAAGGCGATGTTGAGCCAGATGGACCAACAGGCCTGGACTCAGTGCGAGGCAACGGACAACCTCTTGAATTCTTACCTAGGTGGCTGTCCACGTAACTTCTGAAGTACAGGAACCAAACAGGGAGTGGCAGTTGGAGCAGCAGAGATGACCACCGATGCTTCCTAGAATGTCCCTTTTCTCCAGCTTATATCAGGGTCAACGGAGGAATGAGTGGCGGGTCAGCTAAGAGCATGCAGGCATGTGTGTGTGTGTTGGGGGTTAACGGAAGGGCAGAGTGTTTGAGGACCGGGACATTGGCAGGGAAACCAAAATGCTTGTTTACAAAGCTATTTTACTACCAACCTTACTGTATGCTTGGGAAACATGGACCACTTACAAACGCCATCTCCAACTCCTCAAAAGATTCTGTCAATGGGGTCTCCGAAAAATTCTACACATCACTTGGGAAGACAGGCGAACTAATACCAGTGTACTGGGAGAAGCAAAGATCACCAGTGTCGAAGCGATGATTCTTCAACATCAACTTGGTTGGACTGGTCATGTTGTGCGGATGCCTGATGATCGTCTTCCAAAGCAACTACTCTATTCCCAACTTAAAAATGGAAAGCGTAATGCTGGTGGTCAACAAAAGAGGTTTAAAGACTCTCTCAAGGCAAATCTTTTAAAAGTAGTATAAACACCAACAACTGGGAAACACTGGCCTGCAAGTGCTCCAGTTGGAGAACAGCCTTGACCAAAGGTGTGATGGGCTTTGAAGACTTTCGAAGTCAGGAAGAAACAGTGCTAAGAGGAAGGGTGTTTGGCAAATCCACACCAGGATCAACTCCTGCCCGGAAACCAATGTCCCCACTGTGGAAGGATGTGTGGATCCAGAATTGGCCTCCACAGTCACTTACAGACTCACTGTTAAGGCTAATAATAATAATAATAATAATAATAATAATAATTTATTATTTATACCCCGCCCATCTGGCTGGGCCTCCCCAGCCACTCTGGGCAGCTTCCATAAAAACCACAAATACAGTAAAATTGTTGTTATTGTTTAGTCGTTTAGTCGTGTCCGACTCTTTGTGACCCCATGGACCAGAGCACGCCAGGCACCTCTGTCCTCCACTACTTCCCGCAGTTTGGTCAGACTCATGCTGGTAACCTCGAAAACACTATCCAACCATCTCGTCCTCTGTCGCCCCCTTCTCCTTGTGCCCTCCATCTTTCCCAGCATCAGTGTCTTCTCCAGGGAGTCTTCTCTTCTCATGAGGTGGCCAAAGTACTGGAGCCTCAACTTCAGGATCTGTCCTTCCAGTGAGCACTCAGGGCTGATTTCCTTCAGAATGGATGCGTTTGATCTTCTTGCAGTCCATGGGACTCTCAAGAGTCTTCTCCAGCACCATAATTCAAAAGCATCAATTCTTTGGCGATCAGCCTTCTTTATGGTCCAGCTCTCACTTCCATACATCACTACTGGGAAAACCATGGCTTTAACTATACGGACCTTTGTTGGTAAGGTGACGTCTCTACTTCTCAAGATGCTGTCTAGGCCTGTCATTGCCCTTCTCCCAAGAAGCAGGCGTCTTTTAATTTCGTGGCTGCTGTCACCATCTGCAGTGATCATGGAGCCCAAGAAAGTAAAATCTCTCATTGCCTCCATTTCTTCCCCTTCTATTTGCCAGGAGGTGATGGGACCAGTGGCCATGATCTTCGTTTCTTTGATGTTGAGCTTCAGACCATATTTTGCGCTCTCCTCTTTCACCCTCATTAAAAGGTTCTTTAATTCCTCCTCACTTTCTGCCATCAAGGTTGTGTCATCTGCATATCTGAGGTTGTTGATATTTCTTCCGGCAATCTTAATTCCAGCTTGGGATTCATCCAGCCCAGCCTTTCGCATGATGTATTCTGCATATAAATTAAATAAGCAGGGAGACAAAATACAGCCTTGTCTTACTCCTTTCCCAATTTTGAACCAATCAGTTGTTCCATATCCAGTTCTAACTGTAGCTTCTTGTCCCACATAGAGATTTCTCAGGAGACAGATGAGGTGATCAGGCACTCCCATTTCTTTAAGAACTTGCCATAGTTTGCTGTGGTCGACACAGTCAAAGGCTTTTGCATAGTCAATGAAGCAGAAGTAGATGTCTTTCTGGAACTCTCTAGCTTTCTCCATAATCCAGTGCATGTTTGCAATTTGGTCTCTGGTTCCTCTGCCTCTTCTAAATCCAGCTTGCACTTCTGGGAGTTCTCGATCCACATACTGCTTAAGCCTTCCTTGTAGAATTTTAAGCATAACCTTGCTAGCGTGTGAAATGAGTGCAATTGTGCAGTAGTTGGAGCATTATTTGGCACTACCCTTCTTTGGGACTGGGATGTAGACTGATCTTCTCCAATCTTCTGGCCACTGCTGAGTTTTCCAAATTTGCTGGCATATTGAGTGTAGCACCTTAACAGCATCATCTTTTAAAAATTTAAATAGTTCAGCTGGAATACCATCACTTCCACTGGCCTTGTTATTTGCAGTGCTTTCTAAGGCCCATTTGACTTCACTCTCCAGGATGTCTGGCTCAAGGTCAGCAACCATACTACCTGGGGTGTACGAGGCATCCATATCTTTCTGGTATAATTCTTCTGTGTATTCTTGCCATCTCTTCTTGATGTCTTCTGCTTCTGTTAGGTCCTTACCACTTTTGTCCTTTATTATGGTAATCTTTGTACGAAATGTTCCTTTCAGATCTCCAATTTTCTTGAACAGATCTCTGGTTCTTCCCATTCTGTTGTTTTCCTCTATTTGTTTGCATTGCTCGTTTAAGAAGGCCTTCTTGTCTCTCCTTGCTATTCTTAGGAAATCTGCATTCAATCTCCTGTATCTTTCACTATCTCCCTCACATTTTGCTTGCCTTCTCTCCTCCGCTATTTGTAAGGCCTCGTTGGACAGCCACTTTGCTTTCTTGCATTTCCTTTTCATTGGGATGGTTTTCGTTGCTGCCTCCTGTACAATGTTACGAGCCTCCATCCATAGTTCTTCAGGCACTCTGTCCACCAAATCTAAATCCTTAAACCTGTTCCTCACTTCCACTGTGTATTCATAAGGGATTTGACTTAGATTGTATCTTACTGGCCCAGTGGTTTTTCCTACTTTCTTCAGTTTAAGCTTGAATTTTGCCATAAGAAGCTGGTGATCTGAGCCACAGTCAGCTCCAGGTCTTGTTTTTGCTGACTGTATAGAGCTTCTCCATCTTTGGCTGCAGAGAATATAATCAATCTGATTTCGATGCTGCCCATCTGGTGATGTCCATGTGTAGAGTCGTCTCTTGTGTTGTTGGAAAAGCGTGTTTGTGATGACCAGCTTGTTCTCTTGACAGAACTCTATTAGCCTTTGCCCTGCTTCGTTTTGATCTCCAAGGCCAAACTTGCCAGTTGTTCCTTTTATCTCTTGCCTCCCTACTTTAGCATTCCAATCCCCTATAATGAGAAGAACATCCTTCTTTGGTGTCACTTCTATAAGGTGTTGTAAGTCTTCATAGAATTGGTCAATTTCAGTTTCTTCAGCACCAGTAGTTGGTGCATAAATTTGGATTACTGTGATGTTAAAAGGTCTGCCTTGGATTCGTATCGAGATCATTCTATCATTTTTGAGATTGCATCCCAGTACAGCTTTCGCCACTCTTTTGTTGACTATGAGGGCTACTCCATTTCTTTTACGGGTTTCTTGCCCACAGTAGTAGATGTGATGGTCATCCGAACTGA